TTTTTTTTTTTTTTTTTTTTGCACACGTGGCAAATACGTCTTTTTTTTTTTTTGCATATTGAATTATTTTGAATTTATATTTTAAAGTTTAATTTTTTACTATATTCAATAAATAGTTATATATCCTTTTATTAAGAGAAAAAAATATCAAATTTTATTAACAAAATTTATTTATGATTAATTATTTTGTTTTAATAATATATTATGATAGGGTTTATAATTCATTTATTAGCAAAATTTGACGTTATTAATAAATAGATAAAACCTCTCAATGTAATGATTGCAAGCGTACGTCTGTGAATATATTAATAAAATAATAATTTAATGATACATGAGTTTTATAATAATAAATTTTAATAAATTAGAATAACATTCGAAGTTTCAAAAATTAATAATTATTTGGAATGAGATAAAATATACTTTTTAATCTTAACATTTGGAATTACCGTCTTTTACAGACTTCAATTACATGATAATAAATTTTTATTTTATTCAATTGAAACTGAAAATAAAGAGTGTAAATTTTAATGAATATAATCTTTATTGGATTTAAACGGTAATATTTTGTATAAAAGTAATAAAAAAAATTGATAAAAAAATGAATTATTAAAATTAAATTACAAATAAAGAAAATAAAATAACATATGTAAATTAAAATTGATAAAGTGACGTAATATAATCTTTTTACCTAATGGGTATTTTACTAATGTTGTTGAAAGGGATTAATTTCTATAAATTAAAAAAAAAAAAAAAAACAATGTTACCGATAGATTCAATGTTACTCGTATTTTTTCAAAAGTTACAAAACATTTCATAAACGTTTTAAAATTATTATTATTGTAAATATTCACTTAATTTGAGTCATTATTACTTGTATGACTAATTTTTAAGTGAAAACATAGGAAACATATTCCATTTAAATATTGAATTTCGAGAAAAGCATTAAAGCATAAACTACTTATCACATTTAGAAAATATTTAGTAAAAAACACGTGAAAACATGTTCAACATAACATAGGTCAAAGCTTCATTCATCACTCTACATGGAACTTTACCAAATCTTACTATTGAAATCGAAAAATGTGAACACAAGCTGCATGATTCATGACATTCTTTTTTATACTAAGACCTGAAACCATGACTTTAGGTTCTAGTTTTTTCATGCTCAGGATATGTATCATCATTTTAATACAAATAGTTCTATATGCACCACTTTGATACCCAAGTCCCACATAAATCCTATTACTTTCAAATCTCTAGGCCTTTTCAGTATATACCATTTTAGTAAGCTGTATCATTTTCATACCTATCAACCTTACACTAAATGCTAAAGGTAGGTAAGGACCCGTAAAAGTCATAGAAAAGGAATCAACAATATGCCTTTTTTTTCCTTCCATAATTTTATGAATCACACACATACATGAGATTCAGAGATGTTCAAGCTTGCGGTCTATTTC